ATCTCTCCCAATTCTCTACTTTTCCTTGCTTTTCCCCTAAACACACACATTGAGAGACTTTGCATTTTAGAGGTTTTGTTGCTCACTACAGGGAATTGTAAGGGCTAAAAACAAGAAGAGTGGGAGGCTGGAAAGATTCAAGGATGCCACAGTAACTTGTCAGTTCTTTTCCATAGCACCAGGGTTGAGGAAGTGAACAAAGTAGACAAAATCTCTGTGCTCTAGAGTATTCATTCCCTGGGAGAGAAGGACAATAAATATAACAACTAATTTACAGAGTAAGTTAGGAGGGGCTATGAATAAAAGCAAAGCATGGAGAAAGGATAGGAATGCCTGTGAGAAGGCATGTAATTTTAAGGGAGAGGTGAGATTTTGAGCACAGCTGAAAGGAGGTGAGGGGGCACACCATGTGGGTATCTGTGGGAAGAGCATTCCAGGAGAGGGAACCACTAATGCTAAGGCCCTGAGGCAGGTGGGACAGCACAGAGACCAGTGTGAACAAGCAGAGGCAGAGCAGGATGGGGAGCCAGAGAACTATGGGGCAGAGCTCTCTTCATCCTGCAATCAGAGCAGTAAGAAGGAAAAAGCACAGAGCTTGAGCTGCACTGACCCGGACTTGCATCTCAGCTCTGCTCCTTATCTCATGTACCTTGGGCTACCCTTTCCTCATCTATAAAGAGTTGACCGCAAAGAACAGAGTCAGTGCAAAGGGTTAAAGGAGATACAGAATGTGAAACTACCTATCACGGGACAGAGCTCATGCTGCATTCCTGCCCATCACACATTAGCTCCCTGTCTCTTCCCCTGGTTACAGAGCTCCTCTCATCTAGCTCCCATTGTGGCCAAATAAAAGGTGTCCAGAAGGATGCCATTTGAAGGCTTCCAAGAGGGCCAAGATACATTAACAAGTACAAGAAAACAAACTGCAAAACAGTACGGATGTATGTATAGTATTGCTGGCAAACTAACATTTTAGTAACCACATTCAAAAATCTGGAGGAATCCACACCAAACTATTAATGTTGATCATTGTTGATGGGTAAGATTACCAAAGATTCTAACCTTGATCTTTTACCTTCTATATTTACGAAATGTCTGAACATTCTACCATGAATACACATTACATTTGCAAGCAGAAATCACAATAAAGGCCAGTGTCGATGCAGAAGAGGTGATTTCCTGGCTCTCTCCTATATCAGTACTGAGTACCTCCATTTCACCTCGAACCTAAGGCCCACCTGGTGTGATCTAACTTAAAGAACCCTTATATCTTCTAAACGGAGAAATTGAGTGCAAATAGGGCCAAAGGGAGCTACAGGGTTCACAGATGAGACCTGAACCACAGGCAAATGTCCTATGGTGGGTGTGCCTGGCCAGCAGCTGTGAACTGAACTCTGACTGGTTCACTTTGGAAAGGGAATGGATTAATTTGTGGGTTGTGAACCACTTTCTAAATAAAATTAAAATCCTTGCTATGGCTACCACCAAGGAGAGAAAAAGAGACTGATGAAAATAAAGTATTTCAAAGGAAGCTGACTGTGAACTTCTTTTACAATTCAAGATTGTTGACACTGAAAAAGATCTCACTTTAGGGGCCGGCCTAGTGGCGCAGTGGTTAAGTTTGTGCACTCCACTTCAGTGGCCCGGGGTTCACAGTTGGATCCCGAGCATGGGCCTCAACACCGCTCAACAAGCCATGCTATGCAGGCATCCCACATACAAAATAGAGGAAGATTGGCACAGATGTTAGCTCAGGGACAATCTTCCTTAAGCAAAAAGAGGAAGATTGGCAACAGATGTTAGCTTAGGGCCAGTCTTACCCACCAAAAAAAATAAATTAATTAAAAAAAAATCTCACTTTAAAGAACTCTAAGTTAATCGTCAGGGCTAATCTTCCTCAAAAACAAACAAACAAACAAACAAAAAAGAATTCTAAGTTAAGAAATACTACAAGAAAAAATTCATTTCATAACTAAGTAGCTTACAAGGTCTGTCAAGGAAAGGTTAATATGCCAGTTCCCAATGTCTTACTCAACAATGCATTAAAATGTGCTCATTATCAGTCACTGCAATGCATGCTAGTTAAATAGCTTGCAAAAATTTTCCTCCCCACTACCTCCAAAAAAAAAAAAAAAAAAAGATGCTTGGTAGGGGAATAAAAAAATAATGCTTAAGCATCCATAGTTGCCCATATGGCTTTTCCCAATTTAAGTATATGTTTTGAGAAAAAAGAAATGTAGTCCAGAAACATTTTTACATTCCTCCAATTGACCATTGCACCAAAAATGGTGCTCAGCTCTGCATTAAATAAAATTCTGCTTGAAGGGAAGAGAGTACACTAGTCTACTTCTTGGATGCTTTTTAATTATGAGATTTCTGACTGAAGATAGTAATGCTCCACATAGGAAAAACCATTTCCTCCCCCCAAAATCTAGCAATAGCTCTCTTTGCTTTCTGCTTCTTTCCCAGTAACATCAAAACTCATTTTGAGTTTATCTGATCATAGACTGGAAATCCCCAGGGCAGAAAGACTCCATCTCAGCATCTCCATAAGCACTGGGGAATGCACTCTTCCAAAACCGAGTGTTTTCCGTGAGGCAAAATGGCTATACAAATTGCTTTACTGTCAACAGAACACAGTATAATGAAAAAAGTAACATTATGGTGTTCTAAAACCAGTCATATCGCCCAAGGAAGAAAACAGAGTTTATAAATTTACAAGAGCGTCTTATACTTCCTACCTAATAATATTCATCAGTTTATAATTAAAAGCTGTTAACTTCCATGGGATATGATTTTCAGTAAATCCCTTAGACTTTCCTATATCTTTCTCACCATCATCTCAAATATGTGACCTGAGTATACAAGTTTGTAGCCCCACTGGGTGAATTTTCCATTGATGCAACTGCAGCAATTTCTAAGTCTATGAGAACTGCGAGGAATGTGTAACAAAAGCCAATATCTGGATTATAATAATGCACTTGCAAAAAAAGATTAAATATACACCTATAGTTGAGTGCACAAATTCCAAGACTTTCAAATGAATAACTGCTACAATCCGAGAGACTGGAATATGGTCAACGGCTGATATGGATGCCTTCAGCCCATTAAGGTACTCAAACCAATGTTGTTCTTATGACTGGCAATGAGACCAGAAGATAGTGTGCAGGGTGGCAAGAAGAACTGAGTGGGATACAATAATGAAAAACATGAGTGATTCGGTCTACTTGATGTGCATACATTTTATAGATTTAAATCTGAAAGGAAACAACTTTTTGAACTTAACTGCTGCTTGGTAGAGTTAAACAGAATCACGTCTTGGCCCCATTTTTTATAAGGTCAGTGCCACCTCAAAGAATTCCACAAAGACCCATTCCAAAACAACAGTTTCTCTTACTGGAAGGCTACAAAGGTTGGTGTGGAATCTGTGAAATGGAAAATTGGATTCAAGCCTCTATGCTCATGCATAAGCTTGATCTTAATGAAAATGGAGATGGAACAGCAACACCAGGGTTAAAGGCTACTCTCAAGGCCTCCCCGCCCCCCCAGCAACCGGATGCACTTGAGTTTGCATCCTTATCCTGTCCCTGACTGTATGACCTTGGGCAAGTTAGCTAACCTTTCGAAGTCTTAGCTGCTTCATCTTCAACATAGAGATAACAGGCTGGTTGTAAGGATTAAATGAGATCATATACAAACAGCTTTTAGCTCAGTGCCTAGCACATATGAGCTTTTAAGAAATGTGTCGTTTTAATGATGAGATATGGCACTCTAACTATATTTTGGAAGCAATTACAGTCCTGCTGCCATATCCCAACATCTTGTGATAACCATTTTCATTCTATGCTTATAGGTTTTACTATTCTTTTCATCACAATATTTTGAGAAAGAAAAGAAAAAATGGTGATCAGTTACATACATCCCACTTTTTGGACTGTTGCTTGAAGCAAGGTGAAAAGCTAGGGAAATAGGTAACATATACATTGAAGAGAAATTCAGTCTTTAGGATATGGTATTATAAGTGTATGGAATATAAACAAGTCATGTAACTTCAGTCTATAATATATGGAGCATCAAATGACAGTAGGTTTTATTTTGAAAGAAACAAAAGCCAAGCAGTATTAAAGAAGATGAAGAGAACCAATATGGGCCTATCACTATCTCAGTTTTAGTGATTGAAACAGGGATTGGTGGGCTAAATTTTGGGAGATTTCATGGGGTCTGACTTCTAACAGGTGGCAAGCTTTAGTCATCTTCAGATGCAAAACCTTAATGAGTTTGAGGAGGCAAGTCTCAGAGATTCTGTTCAAGGCCTCCTCTCGGCAATCAAGGGAAACAATTTTCTGGGTTTAAGCCTCCCTGGCAAGTTAGCAAGCAAAGAACTGTCCGCTGTAGCTTGCACCTGTCCCCTGATGGGGATTCTGGCCTGACAGTGAAAACCCACCATCCTTTCCTGACAGTCCATCCCGCCGCTGTGGTGCCTCTTGACAAACGGGAGAAGCCCACTAGGAAGTGGTCACTATCAACCAAGCCACAATTCCCCACGGTGTGGGATTTCCACCTCAATACCACGCCTGCAAAGCGAAAATAAGCGCCCGCTTGTTATACTGCAATGGGATTCCCCTCAGCAGCAATACCCCTTCCTCCCCCCCGCAGGTTGCATGTTTTATTAATAAATGCAAGATGGCATACGGAGGCAAAGAATGGGAGGTAAGGCATCTGCAGCTGGACCTGAACCAGGGCAGTTTGCAAAAATAAATAAGAGGCATGTGACAAGAAGCAGATTCCCCAGGCTGGAGCTGAAGCCCTGGGCTGCCCCACGCACCCTCGCCTTGCTCCCGCGGCCAAGCGGGATGAAGGTCAGTGGTAAGATCCCAGCCCTCCAGGGCACGCACCCTGCAAACCCTGACCGGCCCCCACCCCGGCCCCGGCCCCGGCCACAGGACCCGGGCAGTGAGGCAGGGGAAGCCCCAGCCACTGCTGGCTGCGAGGACACATACCTGCTGCCGGGGCTCGGGATTCGCTCGGCTCTGCAGCGGCACTGGCCGCGGCTCGCGCTCCCGAGGCTCCCCTCTGCGCCCCCTCCCCGCCCCCTCGCGGCCCCACCGCTCCCTCCGCCCCTCCGCCCACCGCGCTCGGGGGCGCGCTCGGGGCGCGCGCGCGACCTCGCGCCGCCAGCTTGCCTGGGGCCGCGCCTGCGCCCTCGCCTCCCGCCGTCCGCGCGCGCGGGAGGCTGCGGAGGGGACGCGCGGCTGTCTAGGAAACGGCGGCCCTGGCGGGCAGGGCTGGTGGCGGGAGCCGGGCAGGGGGCGGGGAGTCGGCCGCCACCGGGGCCCGAGCGGAGCGCGCCGGCTTCGTGGTGTGGGTGAGGGGGTCGCGGGGCCGGGTCGGAGGGTCGCGTGTGCGCGTGCGGAGAGAGGAGGGGGTCGCGAAGGGAAGGTCTGAGGTGGAGGCGGGCGGGGCAGAGAAGCAACAAGTGCGGAGGCCGAGGGGGCCCCACCCGGGGGATTTCGTACAACCTAGAATAGAAACCTCCTCTGGCGTTGGTGCGGCGCCTTGCAGTTTCCAGAGCTCTTTGCCAGTCCTTCGTTGCGTCCGCACACGGCCCTCAGGAGCTGACCGCAGGCCTTACCCTTTGCGTTTTGAGGCCACTGAGGGGAAAACACCTCGTTCCGGCCGACATCCTACCAGAATCAGAGACCCCTGACCCTCAGTGTCCTGTCTGGGAGAAAAACACCCGTCCGGACCTTCATTTGATAGTCTCAGTTCAGGGACTTTGTAGGACAGTGTTGCTCGACCTTTATTTTTCTTTCCGTTATCGCTTTCTTCAGCCTTTTTAGACATTTTGTTCACTAATCGCACCTCCCCCCCCATGAAATTCTGATATCATTGATATATACCGTATAGTTGCTTCTGTACCGTATGTGTATTTGTGTTTTATACATAAAAAGACTAAGATTTCGCCCCTTGGAATGATCTCGAGCCCGCTGAGAGGGCTCGTTCCAGGAGCGCGGCTCTTCGTTAGCGAGCGGCCTAGTGGAGCGGCGAGGACTCGGGGCGCCCCCGCAAGTGCTCTCTGGAGGTTAGGAACAAGCCCTCACGTGTGTGTGGACAGCTCGTTCTAGCGTCTGCAGGTGCTGCCGTGAGCAATGGAATAGAGTCACGTAAGCAGCTTCTGGATTCATGGTAGCTTTTATTTGTAGTCTCCATCAATTAAAGCTAAAAATATAGCCTTTTTCCTATAGGGTCTTGACATTTTTGTTAAAATACTTGGAAAAATTAGAAACCTTCCTTTCTAGAGCACTAAGTTCTAGGGTGACCTTTGGCTCTGCAGACAGCCTTGATTTCTGTTCTCATACCTCTTCTAACGCATTTTTTTTTTTTTTTTTTTTTTTGCTGTTTGTTTTGTTTTTTTGTGAGGTGTTTTGGTTAGACCCGTTTGGTTTCCTAGGAATGTCTTTGTCGTTCTTGCCTCCTCTTCCCACCCCAGCTTTTCTAGCTAAAAGACGGAAATTGTAGCGTTGAAGGACTTCAAAACCTAGGTCTCAGAATTGCCCCAGGGACTTGGGTCATACTTTTTCTTAGACACAGGAATATCTAGATAGGGAGTAAGTATCTAATTTTGGCAAGCTGAGAAATAAGTAAAATTTCTTCTTCAGGCCCTGCCTCGTCTTTCAGTATTTCTTACCCAACTCTAATGGTGGTATTTCGGAGGGAAAAAAGCTGTTGGAGGTAATATTTGTAGAAGCTATGTGGGTTGCCAGAGGATTTCTCTTCTACATTTCTAGAAGGAAGAAATGTGGACTGGAAAGGAGAAAGTGGGGCTAGATCACGAATACTTGGGAGGATGGATGGGATGGGGAGGGGTATAGTTTTCTGACAGGTGGTAGCAACATTTCAGCTACACTTGAAAAAGTGTAAAAAATAAAGCTTGGCATAGCTTGCCCAGGTTATCTACCCCCTTTTTTCACCACTTAGTAGAAATCTAAAGATTTGACTAAAACCACTGAAAAGTATCCAGTTACAATGCTAGTTAAAAGAGTCAGACTGGGGCTGACCCCGTGGCCAAGTGGTTAAATTCTCACGCTGCACTGCGCTGGCCCAGGGTTTCGCTGGTTCGGATCCTGGGCGCGGACATGGCACCGCTTGTCAGGCCATGCTGAAGCGGCGTCCCACGTGCCACAACTAGAAGGACCCACAGCTAAAATATGCAACTACGTACTGGGGGGATTTGGGGAGAAAAAGCAGAAAGAAAAAAAAATAGATTGGCAACAGTTGTTAGCTCAAGTGCCAATCTTTAAAAAAAAAAAAAAAGTAGGATGAGTATTTTGAAACTTGCGGACAGAGAAATCAAAACACCACTTCCGTTTACCTGAAATCTTTGCAGTCTAATAGTTTTTGGATTCAGGTGCAATGCTACTTAGGGAACTTTTTCCTGTAATCGCTGTCTATAAAGACCCTTTAGAGAGAGAGAACTATGTGGAAATTACACGTTAACATCTTTCACCTGTGTCTTTTAAATGTGCTGCTCTTTTTTTTGTAATCTGAGTTCATGGAAAATGTAGCTGCAACCATTTTATGTGGTAGTGTGAAGTCAAAAATCCCAAAACGTGTATAATTTGTCAACTCTATGCTGCCCCTTGGTGGTGTCCTACTTCACAGCGCATACCCAAACTAAAATCTTTGATATATTCTTGAGGGTGTTGAAAACCTAAATCAGAGGTGTAGACAAGATGCATTCTGCAAACTCCAAACTGGTGCTGCTCTTGTTTTCAAATACTCGAAGGCTCAACACCCAGAGGAGGATTAGCCCTTGAGGCTAATCAATCTAGAGGAACTGTGAAGATCTCTGGCAGGCCTCTTTAGCGTGCTCTTAAACTTGCCTGTAAGAATCACTTGAGGACACTTATTTAAAGTCAGATTCTGGAGCCTCACCTCAAACCCATTAAAGTCTAATCTACAGGAAAGTGGCCTGTGATTTTTAACTGCCCCCAGGTGAGTCTTATCAATAGGAGAGATGAGGACGACTGGAGCTATAAATAGAACAGGTCTTGCTTCAATAGACTGCAGGTGATTAATGAGAGGGAATTTTGTGGCTGAAAGAGCCCCAAAGCAATGGGAAAATAGGACCTATGAAGCAGAAGTCAAAGAAATTAACTGTGGATTTAAGCCTTCTGTGTCACTTTCTTGCCAGATATACCTGCTTTTAATGTGGCTGTAATTGGCATGATATCCCATACCAAAATGCCTTTTTAGGTAAGTCAGGTTTTCTTTTAGTTAGAAAGACTGTCTTTTCAAGAGTCCCAGAATCACATAATCAGAAAATTTGTGCATGTATGCAGCCGCAGGATTATGAGAGGGCAAGATGGGAGATTATGTTGATCCTGCGGATGTCTGAAAAAGAGAGAGATCAAAGTTAAAATTTCTTCTCTTGAGGTAGCTGCTTGTAAAAGTAGAACATATGAAAATTAAATAATACCAAGAGATCTTAAGTTGTTAATGGTTATGTAAATGTTAATATTTTAAAACCTCTTCTAAATGTTGATTTATAATACAACCTCATTTATTTGGAACACAGAGAGAAAGCCAATCTGAGTTAGTGAAAGGCCTGAGAAATAGAATATATGTGATTTTGTGTGATATTTATTTAAAAATTTAAGTGTACACAATAACTGCTGACAAAATGGCTTTTTAAAAAAGTTCTGCTGAGATGGTTTTAATGAATAAATGATTTGTAATTAGCAAAATTCATGGACATACAGTCTGTGGATAAAACAAAGCACAGTACCATGTGCTCAGTAGATGCTCGGTTAATACACGTTTTAAAAGGTTTTCTCATAAGTAGGTTAAATATGCTTAATGCAGCAAGCCCATCTTCAAGGATAGTACCTCAGTGGCAGATTTCACCTTGAGCAGTGGTACATCAAGAGTGGGGCAATGAGAGCATCACTTTGGGTGTAGGCAATACAAATTCTCATTGTCTGTAGAGAATTTAAACTATAATAAACCCACTAAAACCCACTATCTGCTTTTTGTGTGTGTGTGTGAGGAAGATTGGCCCTGAGCTAACATCTGTTGCCAATCTTCCTCTTTTTGCTTGAGGAAGATTGTCCCTGAGCTAACATCCATGCCGGTCCCTGTCCATTTTGTATATGGGATGCCGCCACAGTATTGTTTGTGACGAGTGGTGTGCACATCCACACGCTGGATCCGAACCCATGATCCCCAGGCGACCAAAGTGGAGCGTGTGAACTTAGCCACTTTGCCCCTGGGCTGGCCCCTCTATCTGCTTTTTATTACCAGTAATTTTTATGTACCAGAAATTCTGAACAGTGTTGGTTATAAAATACTCCTCCCTGAAAAATCTCTTATGAGTGTAGATTCTAAACAATTTCTGTAGTTACTGTTAAGTTTTGGTAATGTATATGCGAGCTTCAAATTCTCACTTCTTAGTTATTTATCCTTTAGTAAATATTATACTCTATGTGGAAGTTAGTTCAGAGAACTCCTATTTATAGAATTGGGCTTCACTAAACATAGACTCAGTTATACAGGTATTTTTCTGAGTAAATTCATAAAAATTCAGGGTAATTCAAGGCTTTGGGTGCAGTTCATGTCTACAACTCCTTTGGTCCATATCCCTGTGTTTAAATTTAGATCCTTAATAAACAATGGTAGCACAGCAATTGTAAGGATGAAAAAACAGAACTTGATTAATTCAATGTTGTCATTCTGTGTTACCACCTAAGAGTTTTCATTTATATGTAAAATTTAAGAGTGAAACAAAGTGCAAACTTTGAGGTGTAATATTTTTTGTTGGTAAGTACAAATTTTAGTTTATATGTGAAATTATTCTTTTGAATAATTGAGTTCAAATAATATCTTTTGACTTTGAAATTTACTCTCGAATTGTTAATGTTTGCTTCAAAACTAAAGAACGAATCAAGAGAATGGGAGGTGTAATGTTATTAGTATTTCAGCAGACCAATGTGTAGGTTTAAATTTTTCCTTTTTTCAAAAAACATTAATTCCATTACATTTTTCCTTTTTTGTATTATAATATTTATTTTATATTGGCATATAAGCAGGGTTGAATGAAAGAATTTTCAGTTTCTTTCCTGGCCATTATTATTCATTTTATGATTGTTATTGAAAATAATTTTGTCACATAGAGGAAGGGATGTTAAAAAAAAAAAATGAGTGGCCAGCCCTGTGGCAGAGTGGTTAAGTTCTCGCACTCCGATGTCGTGGCTCAGGGTTTCGCCAGTTTGAATCCTGGATGGGGACATGGCACCACTGGTCAGCCCATGTTGAGGCAGCGTCCCACATGCCACAACTGGAAGGACCCACAACTAAGAATATACAACTATGTACCGGGGGGCTTTGGGGAGAAAAAGGAAAAAAATAAACTCTTTTAAAAAAAAAAAAAGATCCCTCTGGGTGTCAAATTCTGAGTATACCACTGGGCTCAAATAATTACGAAGTGAATGGTATTCAAATTAAGTGAACTTTATTCTGTGTTTAATATTTGGAATTTTGCATGTACTTGATGAGGAAACTGTAACCACGGGCCCTCTAAGGCTGGTCCAAACTGACCCCATCTTATCAACAGTAATTGAAAGTTATTTTTCAGGAACTGAGACCCCTTGTCTAGTTCAGACCAATTGAGACCACCTGTGTAATGCCCAGTAAGTGACCCTTTTGATGTGAAGCTGAAAACTCCACCCTCAGATCACACTGACACCGCCATTTTGTGAACAGGTGTCCTATAAAGAGCCATGAAGTTTGACTGTGCTTGCGCAGATCAATTACCTCACTTCTCCTTATCTCCAATCATCTGTCTCCACAATTCAGACCACCCTTGCCCTTCGTTCTGTAAATTTTGCCCCTAGCCCTGGATCAGGGAGACAGATCTGAGAGCATATGCCTCCTGTCTCCTTGCAGATCAATCTAGCTGGCGTTTTTATGCACATCAGGTAGGAGAACCCCATCTTTGTGTGGTAACAAAACAATTATTTTGGCTACGTAATGTATGTGCCAAAATAAAATATCAGTGATTATATATATTTTAAAACATAAAAATGACACAGTATTCCAATTCTAGTATGACTAGGCTATTTTAAAACTTAGCAAGTACATGTCCATGTGTTTATTGATAGAATCCTAATAACGGCGAACATTTATTAAATGCTTACGATATGTCAGACACCATTCTATGTGCTTTGTATGTATCAATTTTTTCATGACAACCCTACTTGGAAGGTATGGTTATCTCATTGTATAGATGAGAAAACTGAGGCACAGAGAGGTTAAGTAACTGGCTCAAGATCACACAGCTAGTAAATGGAGAAACCAAAATTCAAACTTGGACAGTCTAATTCAGAGACCTCAGGTTCAATCCTGGTGCCTCACTGCCTCACATGTATACACAAAGTTGTGCCTCAATAAATTTGAGGAATCATTGTGTAGTGGGAAAAGCATTCTGGATTCCAGGGATCCACCTCTAATTCATTCTATGACTTTGAGTAAAACAATTAAGTGAATGAATGTCTCTGATTTAGAGAGTGTTGAACTTATTCCATCTAGAAGTTCTCTAAATTTCTTTCTGCCTCTAATTTTCTACCTCTAAATTTCTTTCTTTTTATGATTCTATGATTATTTTTATGTAAAGAAGAAAGTTTGATCTTTCATTTATCTGACTAAAAATGAACCAGAAAAATGAAGAAGTAGCATGATCAAATTTGAAGGTAGATAAATTTTGGATGTTTTTTAGTTGCGGAATTGTACTATTATTAAACCGTTCATGTTCATTATTTGTATGACTACAGAAAGACCATAGACTTCTGAGGGATTGATTGTGCATTCTGAAAATTGGCTTGATATAAAAATTTATATTATTCATATATGCCACTTTTACGTAATTAAGGTGTTCTGAACCATTGCTTTGATCTTCTGTCTTAGTGCCATATAAGGTAAAACTCTTTGGGAAAATGATTTAAAGTGGAAGATATATCATAGTGTAGGCTACTTTTTCCCCTTCTTTCTCATGAAGTCTCCCACCTTATAGAAATGACAATCCTTGTTAGCCCTTGATCCATAATGTTGCAGGTAAATTTTTTTTTGGTGGAGACAGAACACAGAAAGTAACTTTTATCATGAAAAAAACTATAATTCCTTGCTGTCCTGTTTAAAGGATTTTTTTCCTCCCACGCAATAATCTTTTAATAAAATTAAAAGATAAAAGAATAACATTTTTTTCTTGGTGAGGAAGATTGGCCCTGAGCTAACTTTTTCTTTTTTTTTTCTCTCCCCGAAGCCCCAATACATAGTTGTATATCCTAGTTACAAGTCCTTCTAGTTCTTCTATGTGGGATGACACCTCAGCATGGCTTCATGAGTGGTGTGTAGGTCTGTGCCCAGGATCCAAACCCGTAAACCCTGAGCCGCTGAAGCAGAGCACAGGAACTTAACCACCACGCCACTAGGTTGGCCCCTCTATTTCCTTACTAATCCCACTTCTAGCCTTGTATTTGGAAGTGTTAACAATAAATAGTTTCCTAGGACTTAAAAAAAAGGTTGAAGTTTCTGCTGCCTGTTGTGAATTCCTCTGTGATATCACTAAGTAAAAGAAAAAGCTCAGATGAATTTGTAAATAGATTCTACTTTCCTTTGCTTCATGTGTTACTAGAATTGTTGTGTAAAATGTTTTCTATTTTTATTTTTCTTTATGGTGATCACAATTTCTATCAAAGCAGAAGAGATAGAGGCAAACCAGAAAGCAAGAAGCAGTTTCTTCTCTGCAATCTGGGAGAAAAGACTTTCCCTCAAGGACAGATCAGGTAAGTAATTATTTGTTAATTCATTCTTTCTAAATTTGGGGCCATACATGTAGCCATAATTTGTCAACTATAATGATAGATAATTGGTTTAATTTAACTAAGAGGAAATAAGTGTACACTCCACAGCATGGAAAGTACTGTAACTTTTAATTTATAGAAGGTTGGGTCTCAATTCTAATGTTTGAGAAGCCTGTATGTATAGAACCATGTTCAGTTATATATTAACTATTTTTTAAAATTTTTTTATTGAGTTAATGATAGGTTACAATCTTGTGAAATTTCAGTTGTACACTAATGTTTGTCATTCGTGTTGTAGGTGCACCACTTCACCCTTTGTGCCCACCCCCCACCCCACCTTTCCCCTGGTAGCCACTAATCTGTTCTCTTTGTCCACAGGTTTAAATTCCTCATATGAGTGGAGTCATACAGAGATTATCCTTCTCTATCTGGCTTATTTCACTTAACATAATTCCCTCAAGGTCCATCCATGTTATTGCAAATGGAATGATTTGTTCTGTTTTACAGCTGAGTAGTATTCCAGTATATATATATACTATATATATATATAGTATATATATATACCACATCTTCTTTATCCATTCATCTGTTGATGGGCACTTAGGTTGCTTCCATGTCTTGGCTATTGTAAATAATGCTGCAATAAACATTGGGGTGCATAGGACTTTTGGAATGGCTGACTTCAAGTTCTTTGGATAGATACCCAGTAGTGGAATAGCTGGGTCGTATGATAGTTCTATTTTTAATTTTTTTGAGGAATCTCCATACTGTTTTCCGTAGTGGCTGCACCAGTTTGCGTTCCCACCAGCAGTGTATGAGGACTCCTTTTTCTCCACAACCTCTCCAACATTTGTTACTATTTGTTTTAGATATTTTTGTCATTCTAATGGGTGTAAGGTGATATCTTAATGTAGTTTTGATTGCATTTCCCTGATGATCAGCAATGATGAACATCTTTTCATGTGCCTATTGGCCATTCGTATATCTTCTTTGGAGAAATGTCTGCTCATGTCTCCAGCCCATTTTTTGACCGGGTTGTTTGATTTTTTTGTTGTTGAGTTGTGAGAGTTCTTTATATACTATGGATATTAAGCCTTTGTCAGATATATGACTTGTTTTTTCCCAGTTAGTGGGTTGTTTTTTTGTTTCAATCCTGTTTTCATTTGCCTTGAAGAAGCTCTTTAGTCTGATGAAGTCCCATTTGTTTATTCTTTCTATTGTTTCCCTTCTCTGAGAAGACATGGTGTCCGAAAAGATCCTTTTAATACTGATGTCAAAGAGTGTACTGCCTACGTTTTCCTCTAGAAGCCTTATGGTTTCAGGTCTTACCTTTAGGTCTTTGATCCATTCTGAGTTTATTTTTGTGAATGGTGAAAAAGAATGGTCAATTTTCATTCTTTTACATATGGCTTTCCAGTTTTCCCAGCACCATTTGTTGAAAAGACTTTCTTTTCTCCATTGCATGCCCTCAGCTCCTTTGTCGAAGATAAGCTGTCCATAGATGTGTGGTTTTCTTTCTGGGCTTTCAATTCTGTTCCATTGATCTGTGCACCTGTACTGTACCAGTACCATGCTGTTTTGATTACTGTAGCTTTGTAGTATGCTTTGAAGTCAGGGATTGTGATGCCTCCCATTTTGTTCTTTTTTCTCAGGATTGCTTTAGCAATTCGGGGTCTTTTGTTGCCCCATATGAATTTCAGGATTCTTTGTTCTAATTCTGTAAAGAATGTCATTGGGATTCTGATTGGGATAGCGTTGAACCTGTAGATTGCTTTAGGTAGAACGGACATTTTAACTATGTTTATTCTTCCAATCCATGTACATAGAATCTCTTTCCATCTCCTTATGTCGTCATCCAATTCTCTCAGAAAGGCCTTGTAATTTTCATTATATAGGTCCTTCACTTCCTTAGTTAAATTTACCCCAAGGTATTTTATTCGTTTTGTTGCGATTGTGAATGGTATTGTGTTCTTGAGTTCTTTTTCTGTTAGCTCGTTATTAGAATATTGAAATGCTACTGATTTATGTAAATTGATTTTATACCCTGCAACTTTGCTGTAGATGTTCATTACTTCTAAGAGTTTTCCAGTGCATTCTTTGGGGTTTTCTATATATAAGATCATGTCTGCAAACAGCAAGAGTTTCACTTCTTCCCTCCCTATTTGGATTCCTTTTATTCCTTTTTCTTGCCTAATTGCCGTTGAGCTTAGAAAAATGAAGGCTAAGGGGTGACAATGGTTTTCAAGTAGATGAGACGCTATCATAATGAGGTTAGTGCCTGTTCTTTTCTCATCTCCAGAGGGAAAAAGCAACAGGAGAAATTTAGATTAGAAAAATCAAAGATTTTGAAGTTAAGGGTGTTTAAGATTAGAATGATTTACCCTGGAAAGTTGTAGAATCCTCTTTCTAGAAAGTCTTCTAAGTAGCCTGATCATCTGCCAAGAATAACTTATATACCCATCATAAGGCCTTCTAATTTTATGATGCTATGGTTTATTTTGAAAAACACGGTCATTTATGTCTAAGACAGTAGCTAACGTGATATATATCTAACGATAGAATATATAAACTTATAGAACTTGGAGTTAGGAGTATTATGGAATATTATAAAGTTATTTATGAGCACAGAAATAGTCATGTATTTTATTCAATTTGTTCCATTGACCATGTCACCATCATTGACTTGTTTAATTTTTCTGGTTCATGTAATACTCTCTGAATACATATATGTTAACATCAACAGAAATTGAATTGTGGACTCTTAATTAATCACCTCTACCAAGACTTGAGAGAAAGACAGGAGGATAAATTTAAAGATGAGTGTATTCAGGTAGGATTGTTGAGGACAGCTCCCTGAAAGGTGAGATAAGGTGGAGATTTCAAACAATGAGAAGTGGACCACAGTATGATAATCTGAAAACACTATTTGGAAGCAAGAAAGCTATTCCTCACTTCTTTCCATTGATTCAGAGAAAGAGGAGAAAGTAAGAACTAAATAGTTATATTGGAAAAGGCACCTTGTGATCTAAGGGGGAACCAGATTTTTAAGAGGGAACTGCAGAGAAGTGAAAAATAAATTTGGGATAAAAAGAGTTTGTCCTCAAAGAAATGAACTCTCTAGTAGATGGGGATAGGGCAGAGGGTGAAGAATGACTGAGAACCTGAAGAATTGATTGGATGTGGTTTGGGGGATTCAAGAGTAAAGCTGTGACAGTCAGAGGCAAAAGGAAAAAAAAGACTTGTGCTGATGGAGGTGAGTAAATAAAACAGAAATGAAAGAAGTATTTGAGTAGGAGAGAAAAGTAGACACATGTTAGCGGAAAATCAGGGCTGTTAAGATAGTATTTGTTTGTGAGCAAGGATATTAAAAATGACCAGTTATGTACACTGAGGAAAATGGGAGGGGATGGTAATTACTCCAGACCTGAGAAGGGCACACACATGAAAAATAACCAGGCTGACTGATGACTTATTTCAAGAGAAGTTTTCCTGGGACAGTGTTCAGAGGCTTACTCTGTTTGGATAATGATTGTAGAGTTTCTAGGCTCCAAGGACATAGGGAACCTCTAATAAGACCAGGGAAGGGGTAACACTGAGGGGTCAGTGGGGTTGGGAAGCTCTATGATTTCTGTCTTCTTTACGTCTCTGTATAGAGCTGTCACATTATGTAGAAGACATGCATAATTCAAGACTATTCCTGGCAGCAAAGAGTGGAAAGTTTGCTATTGCCGTGTGGCAGTAGCTTAAAAGAGTTTATAAATCACTAACCAGCCAGCTTGGAAACTGTGATTCTTGATGACTTATTAATTGGAGGAATTTGTGTTATTTCCTATTTTGCCTATAAAGTGAGTCATTATTATCAAATCATTTCACGTTTGCATAAAATGCAACCATGCACTATTTAGATTTTCCAGTTAAGAATAGTGATGATAGTTAATACTTGTTGAGTTTCTTGTGTTGAGGGACTTGACATGTATAAATTCTTTTTTTGTGTGTGTGAGGAAGATTGTCCCTGAGCTAACATCTGTGCCAATCTTCCTCTGTTTTATGTGGGATGCCACCACAGTGTGGCTTGATGGTCAGTGCTAGGTCCACGCCTGGGATCTGAACCTGTGAACCCCAGGCTGCCGAAGCAGAGCACGTGAACTTAACCACCTACTGTGCCACCGGGCCGGCCTCATTTTATATTCAGACAACTCTCTGAACTAGGCACTATTATTCTGTCCTCTTCTCCCCCAGCCGTCATGTATAGATGAGGAAACTGGGCGCAAAGATTTTTGTACAGTGTCACATACTTATTCTATGGTGGAATGTTCTAGTGTGGAACTGGGGTTTTTGCTCTAGCCTTCTGGCTCCAGAGCCCATGCTCTTGAACTACATACCTTTTTATATATAAAAATTGTGAATTGAGGGTTGCTTGGAAACTATTATATCTTGACCAGTTGGTGACTTGAGTACATTTGTAGATGATACAGCTTACCTTGAAGAAAGTGGCTTTTGTGAGCTGATACATTGGATGAGAATTGATTTATTGCTTCCATAAATGTTTTAAAGAGAAAAGTTTATACCAATACACACAGTGATTTGAAGGCGTGTTGCCTGGGCCAGGCCGGCTGCTGTTATTCAAAAGATCACATTGGGTGGTATAACCCTAGTGAATTTATCAGGGTCTCACTCTCAGTCTTGTGGGCTTAGAAACCTGATCTGGTCAGTAGGTGTCCCAGAGAGCATTAAATTAGTCTAACAACATCATCAGCCTAATATGTAAACCCAGAATGCAAATTTACTAATTTACAATGAAATAAAACTGTTACACAAACCAGTTATACCAGGATGATCAGTGTAGCTTCTTCCAGGTGGTGGACCTAGAGGGAAACCAAAATGTAATCCAGAGGTTTCTTGTTGAACAAGCACCATGAATATTTCTTTTGTTTTTTTCATGGTATTTATCTATTTCAGAAATTCCTCAAGAATTTCATCAA